TTTAGCACTGAAGATGTTACCTAGCCAGGTAATGAAACGTTTGCAAGAAAAGAAACAAGCTTAGAGAACCCCAAGGACTCCATAGTTGCATCTTTGCCTGGACTGGGAGGCCTTGCTCATGGTCACTCAAATCTTGGCGACTTCCCATTTGGATTACTGCAACACAGTCTACATGGATTGCCCTCGAAGACCACCTGGAAACTACTACTAGTCCAGAATGCAGCAACACACACATTTTTGGGCACTCCTAGGTTCACCTGGTATTCATACAGGTTTGATTTAACTCAGAGTACCTCTTGGCAGTTTATTCAACATTTGTTAGTTAATTTTTGGTTTATTTTAGTTTCTGAAATTCCATGTTTATTAAGAATTTTGAATCTGATGTTCTTAAATCAGTACTGGTAGGCCTCAGTTAACAACCACTCATTCAGCAACTGTATGAAGTTACAATGGCACAGTGATACTCACAACTGGTCCTTGAAGTTCTGGCCATCCCAGGACCGCCGCAGTCACATGATCGCGATCCGGGTGCTTGGCAATTGGCTTGCACTTACAACAGTTGCAGTGTCCTGTGGTCATGTGATCACAATTTTTGACCATCCCTGCCAGCTTCACACAAGCAAAGTCAATGGGGAAGCTGGCAGGGAAAGTTGCAAGTCGCTCCCGCTCCTTTCTCACATGCCCTCCCACCATCCGCAGCACCCACTCTGTGTCCAGCCATGCTCATGCTGGGCCGCAGCAACTACCGGCGTATCCTCCCAAGGACCCATCCCCGGCCAGGTTGCACCTGCACCGAGCTGCAGCAGCCACCCGCATGCCCTTCCCACACTCTGCAGCAGCCACCCCCTGCCTGGCTGTGCTTGCATCACAGCAGCCACTTACCCGCCAAACCAAACTAAAATGAGGAAAGCTATGTCATACCAAGAAACATTTAAGGAGGGAGAGTGGTAACTTTGGGTGTTTTGCCCTTTACTTTTCAAACTAAATTTCCAGAATCACCTATACACTGTATCTAATAACAGGAAAGGGCTGAAAATATCATGTATAGGATATTCTGACTGGGTTGTAATCCTAATAATCTAACAGAGTGATAAAAAAAAGCCAGTGTTGTGTAGTGCTAAAGATGTTGGATGAGGATGGCGAAGACCTAGGTTCAAGTCTACCCTAAGCCATGGAAATCCACTAAGTTACTCTCACTCCAACTTACGTCAAGTTCTTATGGGGAAAAAATGCTTATTTTTCCTATACTAGCCTGTCCTGCAGTAGCTTCTGGGGAATGTAGGATGGTTATGTTTATTTATTTAGTAAACTTATATAGCCACCCATCTCATTAAATGGGACTCTGGGCGGCATACAATCAACCAACTAATGTTCCTAGTTTATTGAAAGCAATCTGCTATTTGAAAACACCGTCTATTGAAAGTGTTGCCCATTCCAAGCATGGGTTAATGAAAAAGACCCATAAAGAAGGGGAGCAGAGACCTTGGAAGTTTTCTATTAATTACCATCATCTAGACAGCAGATAAGCTATCTAGTCAATTTTTACCAGTATGGTGAGCTATGTTTCTATTCAAAATATACTAATTACTTCTAAACTGAATCACAAGTTTATGTGTGATATTTTTCTCACATTTGGCAATGCAAAAATAGCTACCATAGAAGGATGTGCTAATTAACTTTTTGTTAAGAAGTTAAACAGATTTAACTTCTAAAGACAGTACATGAGTTGAAACTAGCAAATGACAACTCAAGGGCACCATCTTGCATACCAAAAATGTTCCGCTAGGCAAAAATATCAGAAAATTAGATACATATTTGGTAAAGGGAAATCATTGGTCTAAATCACTGCTATAAAACTCCATTGGAGAGAATTCAATATGGCTTTTTCCCCACTGCTTTCAAGCACGACAAGCCATTCTCCAAGAATCTCCAACTTTAGCTTAGTCCTTCTCTGTCAGCATATTTCGGTTCAACTCTGTGCATATAATCTCAGAGATAAGGCTGTCTGAAATTTGTAGGATTTAGGTCCAGGCAAGTGTGTAACCTTAAATTTCCTTTTTCTCTGGTTGTTTGAAAGGGCCCTGCTGTAACAGACTCAAGGCCCATCTGGTCCTGCATTCTGTATTACACAGCAGTCAACCAGGAAGCTCTCACACCCATATGACAGGAAGGTAATTGCTTTGCAGAAACTGGTATTTAAGGGATGCTGCCTTTGATTGTAGAGGCAGCATACAGCAATCAAACTAATGATTATCGATAGCTGAATTCTCCATGAATTTTACAGGATACACATACACATATCCACCATGGTATTCTCTTTCAGATAAGCAATATAAGGCAGAAAAGAGAGTAAACAAATAGTAAGCTAAAGAAATTAAAGGTACTAGATTTTAAAAATATACAGATAAATCTAGTTTACTCTAACATTATTCACTACATCTTTCCATACATTTTAATCTGTACAAACCACCCTTGCTTCTACCATATTCATACAGATAGTCCTTGTTTAGCAACTGCCTCATTTAGCGACTGTTCGCAGTTACAACAGTGATGAAAAAGTAACTTTACGACCAATCCTCACATTTACGACCTTCAAAGTAAATTTCTGTGAAGCAAAGGAAAACTGAAGTAAGATCATAAGCACAGTCACGTTTTCACTTAGTGACCGCTTCACTTAACAAGCTAGTCGCCAGTCCCAATTGTGCTCACTAAACAAGGACTACTTGTACTCAAATGAAATTGTTGAGGTCCTGCTCCAGTGTCTGGAAGCAGTTGAAGGCACGGATGGGAGAGAACAGCCTTAAACTGAAACCTAGTAAGACAGAGTTCTGTTTGCTCAGGTGGCTCTAGTGGTGACTCTGGATGGGGAAGCACTAATCCTGAAGGAACAAATCTGTAATTTATGGGTCCTCCTGGACTTGTGGTTCCTGCTTAATCAGCAGGTAGAAGTTGTGGCCAGAGGGGCCTTTGACCAGCTTTGGCTAGCACCCAATTGTGGTATTACTAGGCTGAGAGGACTTGGCTACAATGACTTGCATCTTGCCCCACTTAGACTACTGTGTATTTATTCAGCACACATTCATACTTGATCCTATCTTATCTTGTTCTACCACACAACTTAAGTATCCCATTCACATCAAATTCAACTTACTTTTACTGGAGGATAACATGCAATTACCACCAATCATAAGTTTCCACAACAATACCAATTCAATGTTAGCTCTTTCACAATTAAACCTATACCTTCATTTTTCTGCAACTATTTAACTCTATTCTACAAAATCAGGCCACTTTCATTCAGATCTATTGTATCCCTCCCATTTCTTAACTTTCAGGATACCATATTTCATGCTATTTATGCTTCTTACATTCTAAGCCAAAATCTTCCATATAATATAATCATCACTAGATAGGCCCATAAATACTGACTTCCACTGCTCATTATGGCTTTGTTCAATTTTCTAATAGCACTTTTCATTAAGATAAAGAAACGGTAGATTAGGTTTACAGCATTGTTTGTAGCCGTGTCACATACAACATTCCCCACTAAGGCTAAAATGTTGGCCAATTTGGGCAGTAAGCCACAAGCATGGCCCAAACCCAGGTTTAGCCAAAGCATATTCAAGCTATTCTGCACAAACTAAGATTTCTAATAGTGTATAGAGATTTACTTGCGAACTGTTGACCGCATCCCAAAAACTCAGGTACACACAAGGCCTGACATTCATTCAAAATTGTAAACTTTAAATTTTAGATTCTGCAGCCACCTCAGTTGGTTCCTTTCCCCAGCCACTTTCCACATCTCTCCCTCTTTGCTTCTCTCCATCGTTCATTCTTCCAGAATCTCTTGCTTCTCTTTTCTCCGCCTCCTTCAAATCAGTAACTCGGAACTACTTTCATCTCACTTTGTTTCAGGTCGGTTTATATTATTCTATTTTGCTGATGCCGGTCTGTCCACGGCGCTGCCTGTTTACTCCATACACCCAAAAATCTTCCTTGCCATGCTGCTCTCCGTTTTTAGGAAACTTCTGATATGAATACGATGGTCAACTATTTCGTATGACACAGAGAGGGATCGAAGCCGTGAGGAGATAGGAAAAGTTTTCATCAGGCTAAGTAATGGCGGCAACCCCTTCGGATGAGGTCCTCTGGGTCCTTGCGTCCGAAGCGGGATCGGACGGAAGAAGAGTGTGGGCAAGATGAACCTGGAACTGCTCGGTGCGTGGGGAGAAGGCGCTTTGATCGTTGCTTTTTACTTGGGGCTGGGGTGGGTGGACGGGGCAGCTGGGGGGTGATGAGTAGGCGGGCTGTGGGATAAACCC